GTGGCTGTTTGAATCAACTCACCAACAAGGAGCAAAATGTTAGAGGCTGTTGGAGTTAATGCACACAGCTTATCAGTAGGAATTGAGGAATTATAATATGCTTTTTAGAATTTAATCTATAAATGAGTTGTCTTAATAGCTCGTTTGGACAAGGAAGAGCAAACATAAATATTTTCTCCAATTCATTGCTTCCTACATTTCCAATAATCTCATTTCTTGCATTCATCAAGGTAATTCAACAAAACAATAAATTGTATATAAGGCCAAGTCTTCGTGACATTCCTTAATCAATCATTCCTATAAATTCAACAAAGCAACATCTTGACTCAAGTCCAGATTTTGAATTTTCAGGAAAAAAAAAATTTCTGTCTCAATTTCGAATTGATTCAAATTCCAAACCCCAACACAAACATTCTAAACTCCTTAAAATTCACAAAATAAACAATTCTTACCCCTAATAGAGCTTGAAGATTGGCTGCAGGATTCTTGCCAGTACTTTTCTCATACCCGAGAAACGCAAGCACAAAGAAACTAGTATAGGTCACACCATCAAATATGCCATAAGCAAGAACAGCAGCAAGCCCTAATTTAGCCAATTTCGAACTCATTTCTGCTGAATTTTCCTGATTAAAAAAAAAAAAAATACAAACCCCCATAAAATCAAAAGTCATCATATGGGCTTCCAACAATTTGCATAAAAAAATCAAATATTGAAACAGGTTCTTAAAAACAAAAAATAAAAAAAAATATCATCACGGAAAGGGAAGAATAAAGAATGAATCTTAATTACCTTCCATTTCTGCCACAATCCTTTGTTTTCTTGATTCTAAAAACAAAGATATACAAAAAAGTAAAGGAAAACAAGTAGAAGAACATTATTACTTTGGATAAACACTGAAGAGAAAGAAACATACTTTACTCAATTCTTGATTTTCTCGTTGGAAATTATCATCATTTAGAGCTCCTGAGCTAGCAGAAGAACAACTCACAGAAAGATCTAAAGACCTTTTGCAATGGCATTGAAAAACATCAAAGACTGAAATTGTGCCATTTTTCTTACATTTGTAGAAGTAATTTTTATAGATGCTGCGGGGGACGGATAATTTTGTGTTTGGGGACACCGTAACTGCAGCCCACATCTCTCAAGAATGCTGCTTGGTTCGCTCACGGCTAAGGGCGAAAGTTACATAAATTCATTGTTAAAGTAATTTCTTATTGTCAAATATGTTTGGATAAATAATTCTCGTCTTATTACAAGTGAATCAACAAACAATGAAGCAAATTATTTATTTCACCAAGTGATGTGTCGTTTTAGCGTAATTTGCCTTTCCTTTAAGATTTTTTTTTATCGTTATTGGTTTGTATCTCCTAGGATAAAAACTAATCAATTTCACGTGTTGTTTTGCTATACTATAATTTGATTTTAACTTTTGGCTTCGAAAACTTGGAGGGGAATATGGAACTGTGTCATTCTATTCCGTAGCTAAACATCCAAAGCATAATTGCACTCTCACGACTCTACACCTAATGAGCAAGATGCATTGGACAAATCAGAGGCATATGATGTGACTCGTTTCCTAGCCTTTAATAAACGAACAATGCAGCGTAATTGATGGAGTTATTCCTTCATTTGGACGAGAATCTTCCTACACGTTGGGTAGATGAGACGCTAATAAACTATAGCAACACCACAAGCTCGACTTTGAGAACCAATGCATATCACGGCTCTCCCTAGACTTAGTAAGAAAAACGAAAGATATAGTGCAATGGATAAAATTACTTTGTTAAAGATATAGTGCAATGGATAAAGTTACTTCGTTAGAAAGCTGTACGGAATTTAGATACAACCATCTGTCAAATTACTTGCTTAAAAAAGGGGAATTTATTTTAAATAAACTCAGTTCATCTCCGTATCAATAAGATAATCCAAAGCAAAAAGAATTTGGATCCCTGGGACACGGGTGTATCAAACCCAGTGCTACTCATGCAAAATGACTTCTCTATTAATGTAAAACACTAACATGAGATACGTTAACTTGATAATCGAAGTGTCATAAATTAATCACTAACCAGCATCAAGCTGATTGTTGCAAGAATTAGAGAAACTATGAGACAAAAAGGGACACGATTAAAGATCCAAGCTTGGGAAAAGTCAAATGCACCAAATTATGTAAAGACAATATTGAAGTTTAACTTCAACCAACACCCCCATTAAGGGAGAAAAAAAAAAAAAAAAAAAAAGAATTGCTTTTTTAAAAGAAAACCTTA